GGAAAAGGAGAGGAGGAAATGTTTAACCCCAGGAAACAGACCTTACCCACTGCCTGACTCTCAGCTCAACACACACATCCAGGGTATTCAGAATTAAAGCTAACACTTCAGCTTGAGATGTTAGCCTTTGAAGTGACTATCTTGAACACAAGCACCAGTTAACTACTTTTCACAACATTTTAGTGAGCTGAATTCAATACATTGACTCAAGAGAAGGGGCAATATTTGCATACAGTGGAAAACCTAAGCAAAGAAGAAAAAATTAGACATATTCTGAATCCTAGACCCCAGCGTACTCACCTGCGTCTGACTGGGGGGACCAGGGATGTAGAGAGAGAAGTCATTAATTCACACAGAATAATTGTTTTGACTTATTTAGCCTTTCTTTTTGCTTGTGGAATGTTGGTCAGCAAATGTATTCGTTATTTGAATTTATTCAGTGAGAGGTAATTTTGCAAGTTTTTTTCTACTATGAATTGATTCCTGACAATCTGCTGTGAATATTTATTGCTGTATTTATTAGTCGCAGTTGGTCACATAAGTCATATGGCATTGTGATTGGAAGAGTGAAATTTACAATTAGGAGTAGGGCTTGAAAAAGCCACCAGGGCTTTGAATCTCTTGGGAGAAGTAGCAGCTAACTTAAGCAGGATGACATTTTTTAGGACACATTAAGCCTCCTTTCCAGGCAACTGCTCTTACTTAAGGCAACATTCTGAGACAAATAAGGTTCCACTCCTGGAGATCCTATATGTCCCTAAAGGGAAGGGGCGGGATATGCCCCAGCTGTGAGAGCCTTCATTCTTTTAGTGATTGTATGTTAATTTTATTTTAACTTAGTACTTTCTTTAATAATTAAGGACCAGTTTCATCCTTTGTATTGAAGTGAATGGCATGCTACACATTTACATGTCTGAATATCTTCCCTGTGGGTATTTCTGGGTTGTCATTGAGAGAGAAAAATTAAAGGAGCTCTGACTACTGGTGCATGAGAGAGATTTGCAAACCTGCAGCAGTTATTGAACTGTCAGGGTGATCTTTCTAACAACTGGCCCTCTGCTAATGAAGATACTGCCTTAATGTTAGGACCAAATTCAGCATTCATGCAGACTTAGCTCCGATTAAGTTAAAAGGGAAATATGTGTGTGAGCATCCAAGGGCAGAAATTGGCCCTGAAAACTGTATTGATTTCAGATAAAAATAATAGCAGTTAGATGTTATGCAGTTTTATGGGAGTCTGTAAAACAACTGGATCTGTTTGTGAAATAGTCAGGATGTAATTTAGGGCATTCTTAAACTTGAGATTAATTCATGGTCATTTAATGATTAAGCATTGATTATATTTAGGGAGATTTGCCTTTAATTTTTGGTACACTTATAGAATTAACCTGAACAAATCCATCCAATTTGAAGATGGTTCTTCAAATTTTCATTTAAGGCCTAACATTCAGGTGCTGCTAATGTCTAATTTTTGTATTAAGCAATGCAGAGAGGGTTGTGGTAATGGTCATGAGGGAAGAGGGTCCATAAAATACTGAAGGTTTTTAATGGAGCTTTTTAATTAGTTGTGTTCATTCTCTTCCTTCATGATAGATCAGACTACATCAGAAATTATTGATCTTGGATGCTTATGGGTATCCATTGTCTAATAGCAGGAAGCTAAGAGGGGACTTTGAGGGAATTATTCATCCAAATGGATACAAAAAAATCAATTAACAACTGTTGTTATTTATAACCCATTTGTACATTTTTGTAGGCGCTTAATCTTACTTGCAATGTCTGGGGAGATCCTGTCCCAGAGGTCACGTGGCTGAAGAATGAGAAACCGTTGACAGCAGATGCCCACTGCATCCTGAAATATGAATCTGGAAAAAGCGCCAGCTTCACTATGACTGGTGTTAACACAATCGACTCTGGGAGATACGGCATTTTGGTGAAAAACAAATACGGCACAGAAACAAGTGATTTCACTGTAAGTGTGTTCATACCTGAGGGAGAAGATGAAGTATCTCAGCCTGAGCCCAGTAAAGGAGATAAAAAGAAAGTGTGAATTTGAGACTAGAAAACAGAAGTACGGGGGAGAGATTGACTGATATACTGGCATAATTCATGTGTGTAAATTGTTTTATGCATAGCAAATAGCCTTGGATCCTTCCACTCACTTCACTTGTGTTTTTATTACACTTATTTACACCAAGCAAAATAGTGCCTTTACTAATGCATATTTAAACACCATTCTCTTATAGCTAACCACACAGAACCTAACCCTGCAAATCTTAAATTCCTACTGAATGCAGCATCAGGGCCAAGATTTGACCCTCTTCCTCCATACAACACAAACCAGAAGAGTGAGGGAGAATTTCAAGGGAGGCAATTAATGAGGTGGCTGAAAGGATTAAGAATGATCAAGGCTTAAAGGAGATGTTTTTCTGAGCAACAATTTAGATTTGGTCAGACTTTGGTAAAGTAGTGTATGTGGAGTGTGCTATAGCTATTAGAAACAGAGGTCCTGATTCTCATTTACAATAAGGCCTTTTACACAGTTTTGGCAGTATAAAGAAAGGTGCCTTAAAATGGGAGTAAATGTTATGTATAACCACTTTAAGGCTTATTTATCCTGTCTGAGTAGTGTAAAGGGGCTGTGGTATAAATGAGAATGAGCCCCAGGATGCTAAATCAACAAATATGTCGTATGTGTTGCTATAATATTAATGTGCGCTCATGTCAACAACAGTGTATGATTCCTCCTCAATGGTTACAAATAAATGGAACACATTTCTTTCATCTCTACTTTCACCTTGTTTCACTGTCTTGTTTTGTCAGTCACTGGTTTGGTAGTTGTTCACAGCACCTTCCAGTTAACAACTTCTTCACCATTGCAACTTCCTGTAGTGGCCCTTTTGACTGTGGTAATCTTCACTTTGGTCTTTACTATAAAACACAAAGTGAAATCACTGAAACCTCCACATGTTTCAATTCTGAGCTTCACCAACTTCAGACCCCTAGGCATGTAAGCACATTCACAAGTTAAAGCACATGAGTAGTTCCATTGACTTTGACAATTCTACTCATGTACTTAAAGTTAAGCATGTGCTTAAGTATTTTGCTTAATTGAGAAAATCTCTTTCTTAAAGTTCAGCATATTAACATCTGTTATTGGACATTAACACCACAGAAAACTAGCAATGAGTATTAGAAGTAACATAAGCTGATATTAGTACATTCAATATTTGTCTTTTTATACATTTATTTCCAAGGGATATAAGCTGCGGTGACTGAAATTTTTCTCAATTACATCATGTAGAGTAGAAGCAGAATTGTCTGGTGAACTAAGCATGGTGATAGGACCCAGGAACTCCTAAATTCTTAATCTCAGTTCTACCATTGATTCGCTGGCCAGATTTAACCCTATTGTGCCTCCAATGAAGTGGACTTAACCAAGTCTCTTAAATTCTCTGTTGTTTTGTTTTCTCCTATATAAAATTAGGACAGCACTATTTACTTAACCAACAGGGACATTATGACTATTAATAATTTTTGTTTGAAGATGAAATGTTATATAAGTGCCAAGCCCTGTTATTGATGCAGAGAACTTAATGACTTCTGAAAAGAGGCCACTGGGCCAGATACACCCTAACAGGTGCAGAGAGGCATAGCTTACACTGTGACAGCAAGGCCTGCTCCATTTCAGGAGGGGATTCACCCATGGAGAAGGACAGGTATTCTTTCCCTCACTGCCCTTCCTGGGGTTTGCCCTAGGAAAGATCAGCATAGGTTTCTGTTGGGACCAGGACCAGAAGCTTCAGTGGACACTGCAGTGTGGATGTGCCGGATCACCTCAGCACATCACCTAGCTCTGTTGAACCACACACTTAAACCCCCATTCCACCCGTGTGAGAGGCTCTGATGGTTCCTGTGAGCCTCTGGTAGAAGGGAGGTTGCAGCAGCCTGGCTCCACAACAATCTTCCTTCAGCAGACTTTCTGCTCCCAAGAACTTTGTATCCTGTCTTTTACTGGCCATTGTGGGTGAAAACCAGGAATGAATTGGTAATGTATTCACTGAAATTTATTGTTACCTACAGCTTTTTCTTATAATAAAGTAGAGAAAGAGTAGAAGCCGTAGAATATGAAGCTCCAATAAAGTCAGTTCACTTCTTAAAATTCAGCTAGTTACACTGAGTGTCTCAGTCTTCACAGACATGCGCAATAACAGATTAACTATACTTTTCTTAATTCATAGTCTCTGTAGTTTTTTCCCATTGTTCTTACGAAGGTTACAAAGTAGGTATTCATCAAATCCTAGACAAACTATTTTTCAGCTGAAAGCTTTATATAACCACTAATCCAAATCTTTGATCCTTTGCAACAACTGCCTTCTGTGGTGGCAGTGCTAATACTGTATATTTGTCAGTGATTTACAAAAGCGCCTTTGCTCATTATTAAATGAGCTGGAGCAATGGAATTCATATGTATTTCCAGCATCTTAAGTCATTATCAACTTCGTCTCTAATTTGAGAGCAAACTTATCTTAATATCATGTGGAATGTACCATGTTATATATTTTTTTCAGAATAGATCTCACTGAGTCACAGCAGCATGATTTGTCACATCAAAATCTGTAGAACTAACATATCTTCAGCATTTTATTTAAGCATGGTATGTGCTCACCTTTTCACGCACTTTTATCTCCTATAACATCTCAACTATTGTGAACCCACAAATCCTGCAGTTTCCCTTGCTGTAGTAATGGCAGCTCTGTGAGGATCAAACAGGTAAGTGCTGATGGTAATTAAATCCTTGCCATTTGTGGTTTAGTGTGTAGCCCTTATTCATGTGAGGAGTCCATTGGATGCAGGATTGACCTCTGAAGTCTAGTGTATGAAAGAGTAACTGTAATTTTGATAGCTTTAAAATTTGAGAAATTTCTTTTTCTAAAAGTAAGAACACTATAAAACATTCAGCATGAAACACAAACCATGCAACATTTGCCCAGTTTGGGTTTTTTGTTATAAATCTGAAGCTGAGCTCAGGTTCTCTCCAAAAGATTCATAACCTTGACAGACATTTTGAATTAACCTAGGCTGACTTCTGTTTGAAATCCTGCAGAACTTACAGTTTCTAATAGATTGCTAAGAAATCAGCAGAAAAGTGACACTCAAGGGGCACAAATCCCCTGTAGATCAAAACTGAAGAGAAGGGATTGTGAAAACTTTTGTGAACTGAAATTACTAAATTCTGTATGGCTTAGGTAACAGGACAAATTTTAATGCATTTATCAACATTGATGTAGGTCATTTTTGCACTGAAATAGTAACATTTTGACTAATTTCTAAGAAAGGTTGAAGATTTTGAATGTATGCATCCAAAGCAAAACCTATCTATGTTTATGCAGTAACTGACTTCAATTGCAACACTTATATAAGTAAGGCAAGCAGGATTTGTCTGGTAGGTCTGATCCACCAAAGCATTTAAGTATGTGCTTAACTTTAAGCACAAGTAGTCCCCTGGTTTCAATGGAACAACTAACAAGCTTAAAGTTTAAGCAGATGCGTAAATACTTTGGATGAAGGCTTAAGGAATTAAAAAGATCAACTGGGACTTTGTTTTCACAGAATTTATATATATTAAACAAAGTAAAAGTGCTTCTTACTTTTTATTTTCAAAGCAGGGAAAGTAGCCTCATTGTTTAATATGCCATGATTAACCTTCTGAAATTTAAATACAAATGTTGCCAATGAATTTGATACTTTCACTTAATATGATATGAAGCCAATTGAAAGCTGATAATTAGATCATTCCATTTTAGGCCCAGAATTTACACTATAATTATAAACCACAATTGACTAAACCTGCTCCAAGTTACACTTTTGCATCATCAGTGAAATCAATAGGATTTCAGAGGTGTAGCTGAGAGCATAGTTTGGCCATTTCTCATTGGAGTAGTAGATTAACTAAACTTTCTTATTTCTTGCAAGTATATTTTTAATACAGTTTCATTTTTCTTGCAGAATTTTGTTTTCTCTCCAAAAATCTGTTCCCATCATTCCTCCATATATTTGACAGAGCTACAGGGGAATATTCCCATTATGAATGGTGTAATGGAGAGCATTCATTAGATACACTGATCATCTACTAAATAATGGGCCCAAGTCTGTGCCTCTTCACTTCAACAGACATTGTGTATGTATATCTGGATGAAGAATTTAGGCTGATACCCATTTCTAAATATACTGATTATAGGGGTTCTATCACTGCTGTTTAAAAGGAAATTTCTGATGTATCTGCATTTCTTGCTTGTGCATTCTTTGTTCTTGCTTTGGTATAGGTGATTGTGACTCCTGCAACGGCACAAATTGGCATGGTTATGCATGATGCTGATGTGCAGGGACCTAATCTAAATACAATGACTATTGCTAAAAGGAAAAAAGCAACTGCCACAAGTATCAATGAAGGGGAGAAAGAAGGTAAGAGTTCCTTCATTTATATGGGTGCAGCTCCAAGAAGAAAAATAAGTCTGACATTATGCTCTTAGAAGTCCATGCAGATCATTACTTCCTAGATGTGAGTTCTTAAACCACATATACATATCATGGGCAAGATTTTCAAAAGTGACAAGTGTTTAGCATGCCTAACTTGAGATGCCTGGTTTTCAGAGGGCTGGGTGCTCCACACTTTCGGAAAATCAGGCCCCTTTTGGTGTCTCAAGTTGAGCACCCAAAATCACTAGTCACTTTAGAAAATCTTGGCCAATTTTCTTCTGTGAGTAAATGTTTGCAGGTTCTGTCCCTTTAAGGGGCGGCTCCAGGCACCGACGCAGTAAGCGCGTGCCTGGGGCAGCAAGCTGCGGGAGGCGGCGTGCCGGCCGCCGTGAGGGCGGGAGTCAGGCAGCAATTCGGCGGCAGGACAGATCACCGCAGAAATGCTGCAGAAATGCTGCCGAATTCGCCTGACTGCCATGCTTGGGGCAGCAAAAAACATAGAGCTGCCCCTAGTCCCTTAGTATAAAAACTCTTTAGGCATGGACCTGTTTACTTACATGTCCGTAAAGGGACAAGCTCACTCTAGGCTCTATATATCAAATTACAACAACATAAGTTCTAGTGCAGAATCTCCTTAAATAGGTGTGGGAAGAGGGAAAGGAAGAGCAAAAGGTCATAAACAAAGTTAAAACAAATCAACACTCTACATGCCTTTGTGTTATGTCAAACAGAGTAAATATGTGAGAATCTATATTCCTTCTCCTAAATCAGATTTTGTTAAGCCACATGCAGAAGAGATTATTGCTACAGAAGAGACACCTGATCCAAATGAAATCCTGATTGTGGAAGAGGGAGATGATCGAGATGGTAGCGGGCAAGCAGTAAAGGAGACTGATGTGAAGTCAACAGTACCAGAAATAATTCTTCATCCCACAGGAAGCTTGATTAGACAGGGAGAGAAATCAGAGGAAACAAACACCTGAATAAAACTATGATGTCACTGTATGTGTGTAACAATGATTTTATTATGAAATAGATATCGATCTTGTGTTGAACTTCCATGGGATTTAGCATCTCCATAATATGTTTATAGAAAGACCTCCTAATTCTGCTTATTACCCTTGTAATGGCTTCACACGCAATGGGTTGTGGTTTTTTTTTAGTGTACATTCATATCTTAATATCATTGATTAAATACATTGCAGTTGCTTCTAAATATTCTTTAGAATGTATCTGGCTGGCCAGTGATTCAGACTTTGATAAAATGCAATGGCACAATGACAGGCGTGATTAGAAGACCTTATGATATATCCTGTCAAGAAGCATCATATTTACTACTCTGCAAAAGGCATGCATTGATATTGTATAGGGCTATGTAGAAGGGTTAGACCAATGCATACTAACATTCATGCTTTACAGCATTACAATATTCATACATAAGTCAGTGATTCAAGTTTGTGCTAAGGAGTCTCAGATCTTTGGCTACTTAGATATCTTTGCACAAAAATGGCAGAAGTTGAAAAGTGGATGCCTAGAAGCAAGGTGAAAAGAACAATGAGTTCAAAATGTCTTTTGTTGATTTGTAACACAAGCTTAACCATTTTTAACGTGTGTGTGTGTGTGTGTGTGTGTGTT